TGTGACACCAGCCTGAAAGCAATATTTTTGACTTTTAACTGTCTCTGAAATGGCTTGGCAAACTCCTCAGCTCAAGGGCTGTTTGAGACAGACAGCAATTCTGGCCCTGCCAATGATGCCTACATCCTGTGAAAGAATAGCAAAGAATGGAAAAATGGTCTCCTCCTGATGAATGATCAATGTTTATGAATGCTGCATCTGACATGAACTACAGCAGTCGCATATCATTTTGAGTGCGTGGCTGAGGAAAGCAACACCAGATAGACATAGTAGAAAAATTCCCTTTTCTGTTTTTTTGGGAAATTCTGCACATCAGGGATTCAGCTATCCATGGTGAGGTGGAGGGGGGAGGGGGGGAGGGGGAGTGCAGAGAAACTAGTTCATGGACAGAGAGAAATACACTCACTCCATTCCAATTGAAACCATTCTGTTGTCCTCAGAACGGGTGATAGTCTGGATTGACCTACGATGTGAATTGTGGACAAACTGAGCCACTGGCAATCTCTGCTTCCAGTCATTTAAAACCAGGCCTGAGAAACTGATCAGGCCATTAGCAGCTAATTAGTTTCTAATTAGGTAAACCTGCTCCGAAACTGAAGCCAATGTGTAATTAATCATTCCGACCCAGAATTTTCTCCGCGTTGTTTGCGCTGCTGTTACACCTTTCAACAGAATGGTACATGCTCCGCCATGGGGAGAGAAAGAAGGGACAAATGTAGATTCACGGCACAGAAACAGGCCATTCAGCCCAACGGAGCTGTACCAGGAAGTAGCTCAGGGACTGTGACTAGGCAGCCTAGCACAGGTGGAGATTTAAATACAGAATCTCCTGTTTGCTTGGTAGGTGGCCTGACTAGCTGAGCCACAATGCTGGGCTAACATTTATATAGCTCCTTTCGCCATAAGACACAGGCGTAGAAGTAGGCCATTCGACCCATCAAGTCTCAGTGAGATCATGGCTGATCTAATGATCCTCAGCTCCAGCCTTGTCACTTCAGCCCTTGATTCCATTATCAATTAAAAATCTGTCTATTCAGCCTTGGACAACCTCGGGGTATCCCAAAGTACTTTGTATTGAAGTAAGTTTGGAGCATACTTATTGCATAAAATGCACCAAACTGGGTGTGAACTGGTGCAAGCAAGAACCTTCTTCACAGCTTTTTAATGGCACTGGTCTATTCTGTAGACTGGAGGAAGCAGGGCATGCACTACTGCCTGAGGGGCAGAGCATACAACTTCCCTGATTCAGATCTCTAGTCCCATGTTCAGGGCACTGAGCATGGCATGAACAGACCAAGAGTGTGGGAGGGATACAAAGCTATCTGGGATTGATGCTCATGTCCGCTGGAGGCGAGGCTGTGCCGGCTTTGCCAGGACTGTGATACAGCCATAAGCCCTCAATCAATGGGGCAAGCAGGCAAGGCAGCACCAGTCCGTCTCTCCACCCATCTGGAACATTGTTGCACCCTTCCCATGCTGAACAAAACTGTTTCAGAGCTAACCCTTCTCATTGCCCACTGGCCCTCCTTGTTTACAAGCCTATGCAACCCACTACGTTGCTCCCCTACAGCGGAACCTTGTCCAAGCTTTTTCTCCACTGTATCACCCAACCCCAACATCACATTGTTCCTATGGCACTGGTAAATATACGACAATAAATTTGGGCGCAGCAAACAACAATATGATGAGGGCCAGATAATCTAAAACAGATATTCCCGGGGTAACTCAGCAGCTGTGGCATCGTCCGTAGAGAGAAAAAGAGTTAATATTTTGAGCCCAGTGATGCTTCTTCAGCACCGTTCTGAAGCAGGGTAATGAAACATTAACTCTGTTTTCCTCTTGCCATGGATGTGGCCTGACCTGTTGAGTTAGCCCAGAAATGTCTGTGGCTGTGGCTTTCAGATATCCAACATCTGTTGTTCTATGTTTTATTTTACCCAATAATCCAGTTCAGGCATTGGTTGAAGCAAAACTATTGGCCGTGAAACTGTTGTTGCTGTTTGTTGAACAATGTTATCAAGTCTTTTTGTTCCAACCACATTCACCAAAAGGGCAGCTGGTGTTTAATCACATCATTAATAGTGTCACTCTCCCCACATGCACTGAAGCTTTGGGCTGGAATGATTGCTCAAGGTTCATAGTTCCTTGAAAGTGGAGTCACAGTTGACAGGGTGGTGAAGAACGCATTTGGTACCCTTGCTTTTATTGGCCAGTGCATTGAGAATGAGAGTTGGCATGTCATGCTGCAACTGTGCAGGACATTGGTTAGGCCATTCTTGGAATACTGCATTTAATTCTGGTCTCCCTGCTATAGGAAAGACATTGTTAAGCTTGAAAGGGTGCAGAAAAGATTTATAAAGATGTTGCTGGGGTTGGAGGGTTTGAGCTATAGGGAGAGGTTGAATAGGCTGGGGCTATTTTCCCTGGAGTGTCAGAGACTGAGGGGTGACCTTACAGAGGTTTATAAAATCATGAGGAGCATAGGTAGGGTGAAGAGCCAAGGTCTTTTTCCCAGGGTAGGGGAGCCTAAAACTAGAGGGCATAGGTTTAATGTGAGAGGGGAAAGATTTAAAAGGGAGCTGAGGGCAACATTTTCACTCAAAGAGTGGTGCATGAATGGAATGAGCTGCCAGAGGAAGTGGTGAAGGCTGGTGTAATTACAACATTTAAAAGGCACCTGAGTGGGTATATTAATGGGAAGTATTTAGGGCCAAATGCTGGCAAATGGGACTAGATTAATTTAGGATATATGGTCAGCAGAAGAGTCTGTTTCCATGCCGTACAACTCTATGACTCTGCCAGGACTCAGATTTGAACCTATGATTCCCAGACCGAAACAAGAGAGCTAGTGCTGAACAAAGGTGGATGGGAAAAGATTCTACAGTGCTGTTTGAAGTAGAGCAAACAAGGTAGTTATCTCAATCTCTTTGTCAGCATTCACCCTTCAATCGTTTGATTTTACCTTCTCGCTATTTGTGGGACCTGGTGTCTGCAAATTGGCAGCAGTGCTCCTCATTAATCATGAAGTGCTCTGGGATTAGCCTGAGGTTAGGAGCGAAGCTACATAAATGCAAGCATTTGTTTTCTAGCCAGTGCCTCAGCTGCATCTGCAGACGTGAACTATCAATAGAAGCCTCTCCCTATTCTGAATGCACTGGTAAACTCACAAACACCTGCCCTCCACTCCTGTTGAGAACCTTTCCCTGCACAATCCTGGGGTTGAAGCAAGACAGACTGAATGACTGGTTGGGTCATCAGAGAGCATCAGATCCTTGTGTTGGTCCCAGCAGAATGGTTGCTCCATCTTTCCTGTATGAGCAGGCTGAGTTCCTCCTCCCTGCTTGCTGACGTTAATCCAGCTTCTCTTGTCCTAGCAGACAGTGTTCCTGCTCTCAGCTAGAGCTCTGCGTTAATGAATGGGACTCTGCTGATCCACTTGCAGTGATGCTCAGCAACAAAATTGAGGCCAAAACTGGAAATTCAGCACCGTTCAGCTGCTTGGCTGTGTTTCTGAGCTTCAGGCTTTGGTGTGTACCATTGGTGCCAAATGTCACACTTCCTCTGTACAACTGCAGGGATCAAAGTACAAAATTGCACCAGTGCAACCCTAAATAGGTGTCAAAAGAGACTTCATCTTATCTGATGGAGAGAAGCTCAGCAATAAAGCTGGCACAGTAATCAGAGAACAAGCATTTCAACTAATTTATAGAAGAATCAAGGTACACTTAAAAAGAACTTCTTTAACGTGGTCAGTTGTTGTGGAATGTATTGCCTGAAATGGAGATGGAAACAGATTCAACAATAATTTGCAAAAAGGAATTTACTTAGTGCTGGAGAAGGAGAAATGTGTACGGGTTATGGGGCAAGGGCATACCAGATATGGAGATAGTAGGAACTGCAGATGCTGGAGAATCTGAGATAACAAGGTGTAGAGCTGGATGAACACAGCAGGCCAAGCAGCATATGAGGAGCAGGAAAGCTGACGTTTCGGGCCTAGACCCTTCATCAGAAATGCTCGTAGGAGCAGGAAGGCTGACGTTTCGGGCCTAGATCCTTCATTTGATGAAGGGTCTAGGCCCGAAGCGTCAGCCTTCCTGCTCTTATGATGCTGCTTGGCCTGCTGTGTTCATCCAGCTCTACACCTTGTTATCCCAGATATGGAGAAGCTGTCTTATGAGGAAAGGTTCTGTGTGTTTGGCCTATACCTGTTGGAATATAGAAGAATGAGAGGTGACTGTATTGAAACATACAAGATTCTTTGTGGACCTGACAGAGTAGATGCAGAAAGCTTGTTTCCCTTTGTGGGTGATTCTCTCTGGTGTAAGGGGCTGCACAGTTAAGGCAGAGATGAGAAGAAATTTCTTCTAGAAATACAAAATCCCTACAGTGTGGAAGCAGGCCATTTATCCCACACTGACCCTCTGAAGAGCATCCCACCCAAACCCACCCCATTCCTGTAAACCTGCATTTTCCATGGATAATCTATCTAGCCTGCACAGCTTTGGACTGTGGGAGGAAACCAGAGCACCCAGAGGAAATCCACATAGACACAGGGAGAATGTGCAAACTCCACGCAGACAGTCGCCTGAGGTTGGAATCAAACCCAGGTTCCTGGCACTGTGAGGCAGCAATGCTAACCATTGTGCCACACTTCCCTCAGATGGAAGTGAATCCAGGGAATTATTTACTACAGAGGGCAGTCGAGGTTGGGTTGTTAAGTATATCTGAGCTTGAGATAGACAGATCTTTAATCAGTAAGAGCATAAAGGGATCTGGGGGAAAGGCAGAAAGGTGAGAATTATCAGATCAGCCATGACCTTATTGAATGATGGATCAGACTTGATGGGCTGAATGGCCTACTTCTGCTTCTACATCTTATGGCCCTAAGGGCATGGGACACAGTTTTTTTCGAAGGGCCACAGGTACAATGTGCTGATTGATCTACTTCTTAAATGATTCTTCGGTTTAAAAACATGGACGAAATTAACATTGTTTTTCAGGATCAGAATGAGTACAATTCTTCAGTGGTGAAGAGCCTGACAAACACAGCTCGAATCGATGGCCTGCGACCTGGCATTGTGTACGTGGTACAGGTGCGAGCCAGAACCGTGGCTGGTTTCGGAAAGTACAGCGGCAAAATGTGCTTCCAAACGCTGACAGATGGTAAGCTTGGCAGGGAAGGGTGCTGCTGAGGGGAACGGATTAACAAGAATGGCAAAACTCCTAAATGACCACAGGAGTCAAAACCGTGTTAGTATCCATCTTCCCAGAGCACGGGGAGGCAGGAAGGAAAACAAAATCACTTCTGCTTTCAGGATTCCCAGGTTTTCACAAACGCGCCAAGCTCTTGGAAGTGCGGTAAGATGGGAGCAGGAGCTCAGGCTAGGCAAGGACTGGAATCTCCGAGCAGCTGCGCTGAAATGCTGTCCAGGACAGCACCGATGATTAATCTCTTCTCCTGAGTTGGCACTTTGCAGACAGAGGGGGATGTAGGTAGCCAAGTGGCCTGATTGTTGGCAGCCCTCCTATCAAATTAAACAGAGAGCTGTCGTCTCAAAGAGGAATCACCTAGATAGCCTCAGGGGTCATTTCTGACTTTTTTTTTGATCTGAAACTGGGAATTCGTATGGGAATATTGATCTTCATCACCATTACAATAGCCTGTCCCATTTTCTCCAGCTTCTCTTCAGCAGCATGTATTTACATTTGCCTGGGCACACGAGGAGTTTTATTTTCTTTGAGCTGACAGTCATCACCTCATTGAGCCACTCTCACAGTATTGCACTGAACTGTTGGTCTGGGTTTTAGACTGAGCTCTTGTGGGAGGCTACAATTCACAATGAGGTCCCAAAAAGAGTCACACTGGACATGAAGCGATAACTCTGTTTGTCTCTCCACAGATGCTGAGTTTCTCCAGCACATTCAGGTTTTATGTTAGACCTTCAGCGTCCACAGTGTTGTGCTTTTATACCAACATCGCAATCTGATTCAACAATGTGTTTGTACAAAAGTGAACTACTTACAATCCAATCGATAACTTTGCAGAATCCCACTCGTGGTGGGCTTAAACAGTGGCTGGCGTCACCCACTGATCAGGAATGAACCAAGCTATTGCCACTCTCTTATTTTGACTTGCTCAAGGCCATTATGCCTTTTACAAACTTTTGAAAGGATCTCTGATGATAAACCGGACTTATCAATTAAAAGTTTAGATCAATTCTTGCAAATGGCTTTGTGCGCATGTATACAAGTCAGCACTGTGTAATACCACAGTATAATGCTGGCCTATCAGAAGACCATTTACATAGACTTATGTACAATGTACTGTGCAGAAATAGGCCATTTGGCCCAACTCACCAATGCTGCAGTGCCCCCTTTAATCTTATCAGCATTCTTTGCTCCCTAATACGCTTACCTAACCTCACCTTAACTGCATGTACCTTAACCACTCCCTGACAGTGAGTTACAAGTGTCAGAGGTGGCTCGGCTGGTCGCACTCTCACTTCTGATTTCAAAGATTCCGAATTTAAATTCCTCTCCAGTGCAAGTTCTGAGGGATGCTGCAGCTAAGGGGTGCTACCTTTCAGCTGAAGTTCCCTATCAGCATTCTCTGGTTCATGTCAAAGATCCTGTGGATTAATTTTGAAGTTATCTCCAGTACCTTCACCTATATTCATTCCTCAATCATCATTCCAAAAAGCAGATTGTGGTCACTCTCACAATGCTGCTTGTGAAAGTTTGCTGTGAACAAATTTGTTGCTATATTTCCTACATTATAACAATAACTATAAAGCGTACTAGATTGTCTGTAAAGCACCTTGAGGATCCAATGAATAAGAAAAGATCTCGATAAATGCAATTTTACTTCCTTTCTGGTTCCCTATTGGATTTCTTGGTGACTATATTATAATAATGGCCTTCAGTAATGATCTTCCTGACAAAAGAAAGTATTTTCTTTTTCGACTGTGTGAAAACATTTCATAGTTTTAAAGACATGCATGAGATCATCTCTCAGAATCAACCCTTGAAGAAAAGAGACCCAACCTTTCACTCCTTTCCTGATACCGTGTAAGTCTTTGTTGCACCTTCTCCAGAGCCTCTATACACTTTTTATACCACAATGAGTAGAACTGTTCAATTTAAATGTGGCCCAACCAAAATTTGATAAAAGTTTAACATGCATTCTCGAATTTTGCAATTGTTTAGCTAGGAATAAGCCACTTTGTGCAGTCTGGTTTTCCTGTAGCCTTGCCAACCTATCCCAGAGCAGGATAAAGACCAGTCAAGTTGGGAAATTAACTCCCTGGTGGTACTCTTTGATGTATATACGATTCGTCGGACCAGTCTCATTTGCCAACCTTATAGTTCTTTCCTTCTGTAATGTCACTACTTTCAGAGATTTGTGCATTGTATTCCCAGATCCCTAGTCTTCTTAATCCATCCAGGTAGATTTTTATTTTTCAAGAGGTACGTGACCTTTTCTATAACCGCACATACTCGTTTTCTCACTTTATTGAGCTTTAAGGCACTGCAGTCAGTTTTGGTCTTCATGCCCTGAACAATGATCAGGCAAAGAGAAATCTTTCTGCATGGACTTCATTCAGTGGGGGGAAAGATGGGCAAGTTACCATGTCTTCTAAGGTATGGCTTTTTCTGCTCCTGTCTGACCTGATTTCCTGTTTCTCCCTCTTCTCCCACCTATGAAAAGTTCAGCGTGATGCGTTGGCAGATTGAAATTGTTCAGCAGCAAACCTAAGTACCCACATGACCTTGGAAGCCCAGAGGGTTACTGTCTGGTCACAACATGGATATCAGGGTTGTACATTAGCTGAAATGGATTTTCTTTCTGTGTAGCTAAACTGATTACCGTGATGCTGCACCATTTTTCCATCTCGCCTGCAATGCACAGAGACAGGAGATTCATCATTTTATTCACTCAGATTCTTATTATTGACTGAAAAATTCAAGATTATTGGATGTCGGAGGAAAGTGAAAAATTGGTGTACCTTCCTTGCAGTAAAATAGAATAAACGTATTCATTGAAGGGGAGCCTGCAGCATGTTAATATATAAACAGGGGTGAAAATCATCAACTGAGATTGTATGGCAAGCGATTGAAAGCTACAGGCTATATGTGCAGGCAAACAGGTAAATGACAGATTGCAAAATATGGAAAAGAAATCAATTTATTCAATTCCAAGCAAGGACAAATCAAACATCAGCAATATACAGAAAGAGAATTTAATCTGCACGGTTAGCTCCTTCTCCTCAATGTAATACTCCCAGCACATAGGAGATGAGCCCACCGAGCCAGATTAAGCTCCTCAGTGGCCATCAAGAATTGTAACAGAGTAATGAGGCAGCAGGTGCTTTCAAATGCATCTGTAGTCAGTCCTTCTATCTGGTGCTTTTCATAGAATCTCTACAGTATGGAAGCAGGCCATTCAGCCCATTGAGTCCACACCAGCCATCTGAAGAGCATCCCATTCCAGACACACCCCCACATCCTATCCCTGTAACCCTGCATTTCCCATTAGCCTGCATATCCTTAGGGACTGTGGACAATTTAGCGTGGCCATTCCACCTAACCCTGCACACCTTTGGGTCGTGGGAGGAAACCCATGCAGACAACATGCAACTCCATACAAACAGTCACCCAAGATTGGAATTGAACCTGGGTCCCTGGCAGTATGAGGCAGCAGTGCTAACCACTGAGCCACCGTGTTACCCATTTATCCTGGAATTGAGACAAAGTACTTCTGGGAGGGGTGCAGTTAATTCATGCAAGTTTCATTGGCTGTACTGACCACTGGACTGTCCTTCTATTGTCAGCGGAAATCCTTTAAACTCTTCAGTAATCATCAAAGCCTACTTCCAGAGCAAAGATGATAGTAAAGAGCAAGTAGTCTTACTTTACACTTTTCTTGATGCCAGGATTTAGCAAAGCAGCCAATGAAGTGTTTTTTTTAAAAAACACATTATGACGTAGGTAAAGCAGCAGCCGATTTCTGTGCAGCGACGATCCTCAGAGAGAAAATATGACCATGAGCAGCTGTCTTGATGCTGCTGGTGGAGTCCTGGCCCTGGAGGAAGTGATGTACAATCCAAGGTCAATTTCTTCCTGATCATTTCAATCTCAGTCCATTGTAGAAAACATACACGCTATCAACAGATATTCATGCTGTGTCTGTGGAAGTAACTGTTAGACTTTTACTTTAGATGCAAAGATTACTCATGATTAAACAATGTTCTGAACTTGAGCTTATGCAATCATTTCAACACCATTTGGCTCCGAGTAGTTTTTGCTCCATTGTTATGGACATTTCTCTTTGAATTTAGTTTATTTTCTCACACGATTAAGCCAGGTTGGCAATGCTACCATTCACATGTTGAGTCATGTCAGTTGTTACCATCGTGGTGACCAACATGTACCAGGTGATTACACAGTGCCTTATTTTTCAACTGTGATGGGAGATTTTAGCATACATTGTATAGTTGTGTGTGTTTCACTAATGTACGGACTGATTTGCCTCCAGTGATAAGCAAGACTTAGAGAAAATAATGGTCAAGAATTTGAGGGCCTACAACTCCTGGTTATCCACCATTTACATTCATTTGCCCCCCTGCCTGCAATATTCCAACTAGGACTCTCTGCGTGCGTTGATCCTTGTCAGAACCAAAATTAGCTTTGTGATACTGTGAAGGCAATGGTGGGGGATGGTCTTGCCCCCTGCTGTAGACAGTGTGTGAGCTGTATATTCTCACCTGCTGCAGAACTGGAAGATATTAAACTGAAGAACTTCCAATACCAAAGCAAGATTGTTCAACAAAGACTTTCCAAGTCATTGCTCATATTCGTAAAAAACATGACCAAACTGTTTCCTGTTGGTGCAGTCCAAAGCTATTGGCATGGATATTGGTTAACTTGTAGCTATTTCTCTGATCCATATAACTGACTGACAGCTTGAACTACAATCTGGTAACCTGAAGCTAAGCAAAGATTGGCATCGCACCTCAGTCCTTTTCTTTAGTGTGAACAAATAAAGTCCCACCTGCAACTCTTTAAAAAAAAACATAGCTTTCTGTCTCCAGAGATAAGAACTGATAGTTAAACATTATTCCTCAGAGATAATAGCCACTTCTCAGAAACTGCAACTGAATTGAATCCTAAACCATTATTTAGATGTTAAAATACAACAGGTCCATGTTGCCTCACCCAGTAAGGGCCTTATTCCTATTTAGATTTGTGTCCTGAAGAAGATTGACTGAAGACTATGGCTCTCAGCCTTTTACAGGTTATACTTCCTGACCACTGCCAGATCCTGCTCCGATGACACTTTGTGGCCATCCCAGTTCTCCTTTCTTGCCCGAATTCTGTACGGTCAGAATGCAGGCCTCACATGACCTTCTTGAAAACATGCTCCTGCTTTCAAGAATCAATTTTCATCAACCCATCTCAGCGAGCAGGTACTTAATTCACAGGAATTGAAACAAAGTGCACAATGAGTTAAACAAACTCGATTACAAGGTACTTTAAGCTGAAACCTGAAAGCAAAAGCAGCAACGGGAAGGAAATATGCTTTGTAAAAGGCTGGAAGATTGTGGGTTTAATACAGCCAAAGTGCATTTGACATGAATTTCATATTAACCTTAAGCAGCACAGGCACAGCGGAGCTGAAGTGTTAGTATTGGAGCTTTCAGCCTGATTGTAAAGATCTTACTTTAGTGGCCTCACTTGTTGCTGTAATGATTGTTGATGACGTTCCTGACATTGCTACATTTTCTTTCACCCCTTTTAGATGACTATAACTCTGAGCTGAGGGAGCAGTTGCCGCTGATTGCAGGATCAGCAGCTGCGGGAGTGGTCTTCATTGTCTCGCTGGTGGCTGTCTCCATCGTCTGCAGCAGGTCATTATGGAAACACATCGCACTTTATTCCCCAGTAAAACACCTAGAGAGCAGGCTGTGTTTTTTTTTCTTCATTCATTAACCATCAGGAATGGAATAATATTTGTAATCTGGTCATAAAAGGACATCCTCGCTGTTGAGGGAATGAGTCTTCATGTTCTTGTTTACACAGTCAGAGGCTGGTGAGGAGAAGGTTCCTAATGATCTTAATTCTGTTGAGTAGAGATTTTCCAATCACCTTTGTGGATTTATAATTTCCCATTATGTCCTCTGAATGGGCGAATCTAAAGCAAGGGGCGTTTAGCTCAAGATACCAATAGGTGGAAGTTATCCTTCAGTCGGATGGTCTACACCTGTTGTGTCTGTTCAGTGTTAACATTTCAGAAGGGATATCTTAGCATCAGAGAGGGTGCGGCACAGGTGAACCAGAATTATCTGAGGGTTAAATGAGTTAAAATGGAGGGGGATAGATAGTATTCACCTGCCATAGGAAAGATGTTGTGAGACTTGAAAGGGTTCAGAAAAGGTTTACAAGGACGTTGCCAGGGTTGGATGGTTTGAGCTGTAGAGAGAAGCTGAATGGGCTGGGGTTATTTTCCCAGAGTGTCGGAGGCTGAGGGGTGACCTTATAGAAATTATAAAATCATGAGGGGCATGGATAGAGTGAATATCCAAGGTCTTTTCCCTGAAGTGGGGGAGTCCAAAACTAGAGGGCATAGGTTTAGGGTGAGAGGGGAAAGATTTAAAAGGGAAACTTAAGGGCAACTTTTTCACACAGAATGTGGTGTATGTATGGAATGAGCTGCCAGGGCAAGTGCTGGAGGTTTGTACAATTACAATATTTAAAAGGCATCTGGATGGGTATATAAACAGGAAAGATTTAGAGGGATAGAGGCCAAATGCTGGCGAATGGGACTAGATTAATTTAGGATATCTGGTCGGCATGCATGAGTTGGACCAAAGGGTCTGTTTCCGTGATGTACGGCTCTATGATTGTGTAAGAGGTACTGAGGGGCAAACCAGTGGAGCATTTAAATCTTAAATTTTTTTGATAGGATATCTACAGAAAAGCTGTAAATCTCAGGAGTGAGATGAAGAAGTATCTCATTACACTTATCCCAATTTGATTGTGATTGCTAATGGTCAATGGAGATCTTCAAGGCTGGGATTGGTAGTGTTTTGCTGGAAATTTTTATAGAGCTCAGATGAATGGAAGAAATTGAGCTGCACATTGGCCATGATCTCAACAAATAGTGAAACAGATTTGAGGGGCTGAATGGCATCCTGTTGTTTCTAGGTATCGCTATAGGAAAGATAGATTTATTGCCAATCGGTCAGTTATGTTTGTCCTTTCATTGCTACTTGAAAAGCAAGGCCAGCAGAATTTAACAGTACAGATGGAACTTGAAATATTTTATGTTCCTTTTTGATTTTGTCATGAATCTTATGATGTCGAGCTCTCCTCACAATGTAATGCTTCTGTATTGGAGAGTAATTACGAGTTTGTGTTTCTCTCTGTGACAGGAAACGAGCCTATGGAAAAGAAGCAGCATACAGTGATAATCTTCAGCATTACAGCACAGGGCGAGGTGAGTCTGCTCAAGGTGAGCTCTACCAGACTGCAGTACCAATTCTAACACCGCTGTCTGAAAATTAGAATTCATCTTCAATACAAATCAGTAAAAGTGACCATGGAATTGTTGGATTGTCTCGATTATTTTCTCTATTATTTATTCATGTGATGTGGGCGTTACTAACTAGGTCAGGATTTGTTGCCCATCACTAAGCGTCAAAGGGGGTAGTTAAATATCAAGCCCATTGCTGTTGGGTCTGGAGTCACATGTGAGCCAGTCTGGGTAATGATGACAGATTTCCATCCCTGAAGGACATGAGTGAACAAGGTGGGATCTTACAACAATGTTGTTCGTGAAGCAAATGTTCACCACTTTCAGTAAATGGGAAGCAGAGTTCTTGGGAAATCGTAAACAATGGGTGATTTCAAAGAATGAACAATGGGTGCTATAGACAGGAGTGAAGAGTTGCAAAAGAACACAGGCCCATTAAATGAGTTGGAAAAATGATAAGCAAAGGTAGTTTAATTTGGAAAAGAAAGACAACTCAAAGTGTTTTCCAAATGATGCGAAGTTTTGGGCTGCAAAAGAACGATAAAGATTTGGGAGTCCAAGTATAGGAAGGATTAAAATTTAGTTGATATGTGCAGGAAAAAGCCAGTAAGCAAATGGAATGCTGGCTTCAAGTTGGCTATTCAGAACTGAAATAAAGCATAGTGGAAATTTGGATCTTTATCGGAAAGGCTGTGTGAATTCTGGTGCAGTTGGTGTTTGCAAGAGGGTGTTGGATGTCAGGTAAGGCCATCGAGAGAACGCAGAATTTATTTCAGTGAAGGAAGAGGCCGCTCAGCCCATTGTTTCTGCACTGGCTCTGTTACCTAGTGCCAATCTCCTGCCTTTTCCCATATCCCTGCACTCCATTTGTATCCAAGTAACCATCCAATGCCCTCTTGAATGCCTAAATTGGAACAACCTTCACCACATTCCCAGACAGTACATTCCATACCCCAAATACTCGCTGTTTGAAAATGTTTTTTTCTCACATCACCCTTGCTTCATTTCCACACCACTTTATATTTATGCCTTCTCGTTCTTTTTCTTTGTACGAGCGGGAACGGCTTCTCTCTATCTATTCTATCCAGCCTGCTCGTGACCTAGAAAACCTCGATTGTGTTTCCTCTCAACCTCTTTCTCCCCAGAGAGAACAGTCCCAACTGCTTAAATCTATCCTCATCACTGAAGTTTCTTATGCTGGAATCATTTTTGTTGCAAACTGCTTTTGCACACTCCAATGTGTTCACATACTCCCTACAATAGAACTGTACACAATACACCAGCTGGGGTCTAACAAGTGTCCTATACAGTTGAACATCACCTCGTTGCTCTTCATTGTATGTCCTAATAATAACACTGTATGCTTTATTAACTGCTCTCCACCTGTCCTGTCAACTTCAATGATCTGTGCACAAGTACACCCAGTCATTCTGCTCCTGCTCCCTCTTTAGAATTGTACCCCCTATTTTATATTGTCTTTCAATGTTTGTTCTACCAAAGTGCATACCTCCCGCTTCTCTGCATTGAAATTGATCTGCCACCTGTCCATCGACTCGACCAACTTGTCAACTTCCTTTTGGGAGTTACACACTGTCCTCCTCAGTTTACTATTCTTCCAAGGTATGAGCAAAGGTGGCCAAATGGAATTGAGCTACCAATAGGTGGCAATCTAAGAAGAGGAGAACAGTTCCGTAGGGCTGAATGGCCTCCTATAGTCCAGAAGGCCCCTATATTCCACTCAGTTACATTGTCATGGCAGAAAGGAACAGCAGATATTTAACATTGCATGTGTTTATACTGAAAAAAGCGAAGTAAAATTTGGAACTATTTTTAATGGGAATAGATCTACGGCAAGAGTGGTTTGATAAAGAATTTTAAAACTATGTAGAGCTCGAACAGAGCAGAATGGGAATAGCTCCAGTGAGTGAGGGAGGACTGTAGGGTGGCTAGTGTGTCTTCATTTAAGAAAGTCTGTAAGAAGAAGCCTGGGAACTGTAGACCTGTGAGTCAGACATCAGTGGTGGGTAGGTTGTTGGAGGGGATTTACGAAGGATGGGATTATATATTTGAAGAGGCAAGGACTGATTAGGGATAGTGTTTCACAAACTTGATTCAGTTTTTTTTTGAAGACGTAACCAAAAAGATTGATGAGGGCAGAGCAACAGATGTTGTCTACATGAATGAAAGTAAAGCCTTTGACAAGATTCCGCATGGTAGATTGATTAGTAATGTTAGATCACATGGGATTCAGGGTGAGTTTACCAGTTGGCTGCAAAATTGGCTTAACAGTAAGAGACAGAGGGCGGTAGTGGAGGGTTGTTTTTCAGACTGGAGGCCTATGACCAACAGCAGGGAACAGTGCTGAGTCCACTGTTGTTTGTCATTTATATAAACAATTTGGATGAAAATTTAGGAGGCTTGGTTAATAAGTCTGCAAATGACACCACAAGTGGAGGTATAGTCAATAGTGTAGAAGGTTATCTAAGATTATAAAGGGATCTTGATCAATTGGGCCAGTGGGCTGAGGAGTGGCAGGTGGAGTTTAATTTGGATGGATGCAAGGTATTGCATTTTGGTAAAACGATCAAGGGCAGGACTTAAACAGTTAATGGTAGGGCTCTGGGTAGTCCTGTCGAACAGAGAGACCGAGGGGTTCAGATACATAGTTCTTTGAAAGTTGCGTATCAGGTAGGCAGCGTGTTTTAGAAGGCGTTTAGCATGCTTGCCTTGATTGATCAGTCCAGTGAGTCATGAATTGGGATGTCATGTTGAGGTTGTACCAGACATGTGAGGCCACTTTTGGAGTACTGGATACAGTTCTGGTCCCCCTGCTACAGGAAAGATATCATTAATTTGGAGAGGGTTCAGAAAAGATTACCGGGATATCGCTGGGACTGGAGGGTCTGAGTTATAAGGAGAGGCTGAATAGGCTCGGACTTTTCTCACTGAGGTTTAGGAGGTTGAGGGGTGACCATGCTGAGGTTTATAAAATCATGAGGGAAGTAGATAAAGTGAAAAACAAAGGTCTTTTTCCTAGGATGGGGGAATCCAAAACTAGGAGGTGTATTTTTAAGGTGAGAGGAGATTTAAAAGGGACCTGAGGGGCAACCTTTTCACACACAAGTTGGTTCATATGTGGAGTGAACTGCCAGAGGAAGTGGTAGATGCAGGTACAGTTATGATATTTAAAATATATTTGGACAGGTACATCAATAGGAAAGGCTTAGAGGTATATGGGCCAAATGCAGGCAAGTGGGAGTAGTTTAGTTCGGGAAATTTGGTTGGCATGGATGAGTTGAACCAAAGGGTCTGTTTCCATGCTGTATGACTCTGTGACTCTAAATTGTGAATACATATCTGAGATTTATGAAGGGTGACCAATACGAGAAAACTCTTTCCCTTTGGGGTTTTAGAGTTGTGGATACTCTGTGTGTTTGTAGCTGAGCCAATGCTTAATACTGAGTTACTCCAGGAGTTAAAGGAAAATGGAATAGAAAGATCTGAGGGTAGGGAAAATTTCAGACCTGGATTGTGACCATATGGAACTTAAAAAACGACACACACCGGTGGACACAGCCAGTGCCCATGTTGTTATTTCTGACTTGAATCTTCCTGTGTTGTTGGAGGGAGATTGATGAGGGTTGGTGTGAGTGGCCAATGAGGGCATCTAAAAGGACAGTTAAGCCTTTTTTGGACCGGGTTGAAATATTGCGTGTAGTATACATTGGGCCCCCAATTCCTTCCCCAACAACTGAGGGGATGCGGTTCCCCACCGTACCATCAGAACCTGAGAAATTCTAAGATTGTTGAGGAGCTGACCAACAAATGGAAGGATTGCTGCCAGAACCATATCGTTGCCTTACCCACTGAGCATTTTAACAGCGAAGATGGATGGTCACATGCACGTTATTTTCCACTTAGTAATGGGAGGCACCTTCAGGCTGTCTCTCAGCAGTGCCCCCAGTGATTTCATAGTGGGAACTGTTGGCCTGCATTGTGGAGGGCAGTCCACCTCCAGAAGCCATCCACTGTTCCAAAAAGCATAGCACACAAGCTGGTGGCCTGTTAATCAGCTACCTCCCCGTAAATCATTACCCCTCCAGCAAACTGCTAACCCAGTCGTAATCCCAACATCAGTGAATTTTCAGTGCTGAAATTCCCACCCTCTGTATAATTCAAAATTTCTCGCTGCTCTTGGGATTGGTGTAGATGGTTAAAGAGACCTGTTTGGAAACAGAGGTGTGTGTTGCTAATTGATTGGTGATCTACACGGAACAAGCACCAGGCACAAGTGCAGTAATGCCACAGATGGACAGCAGTGTCTTACAAGGATATACAAGTGCATGTTTTGTGCAGAGTAAATTAGGAGGAGTCTGTTACCAGCAGTAAATGGTAATGCATCTAACAGCTTATATGGCACTGATGTTTACACAACACCCTGTTAATGGGAAGTTGTTAAACTCCCAGATGGTGCCAGCTGGCTAATCGCACTCATCTGAAGATATATCAAAATAAACATTGTCACAGCTCGAGATTGAATATATTCCTGCATAATCTCAGTTTACACGGACGTGTCAGGGAATTCTGAAATATGGTGAGCCATTATATAGAGCCTTAATGCAACGCAGAACCTCCAAATTGCTGTGCTAAAGAGACAGGAGAGCTGATTTATGCGTGGTCCGCACAGCTTCAGCACACTTTACATCGTTGTTGCTGACAGCTCACTCTCAGCACTTTGCTCTAATTGCATTACTCACTGATTCAAAGCTGCTGCTGTTTGCTTTTTCAGTTTGATTTTGCTTCTCAGGACACTTCCATTGAGCAATGCTGCCAAGGTGGTATTGGGCAAGGGGGTTTATCAGGCTAATGTGCACCCAGCCCACTCTGTCATTTACTGGAGGATGGGTCCTGGCATCAGGCAGTGTGTCCATCTCACAGCCTTCAAGACTGTTTAACCTTCAAATTGTTGTCGGTAGTTC